CTGCGCTGTATGGGGGGGGGTCCTACCCCAAGCACCCAGAGGCCCCAATTGCCACTGCTGCAGCCAGTGAGTGTGGAGCTTTAAAAACAAAAAGTACCACACTCACCAGCTGCAGTAGCAGCGATTGGGGCCTCTGGGTGCCAATGGTCCAAGGTAACAGCAAGGGTTAATTGATTTCTGGAAGCCTGGTTGTCACAGTTTCACAGCCTTCAAGGCAGACAGGGATAAACACACAGACTGGGATATTGCAGGCATGTACCATACTGTTCCAAAACATGAGATAAGGTGGCTCCAGGTCACAGTGCCCAACCACAGAGCCCTTGGGCTTTCCAGTTTTGGGGAGCAGACCAAATTAGGAGGGCACCAGTAAAGCCCAAATTAGGATTTATGCATGAAATGGGCTTGTGAAACAAAGGAATATGCTGACAGGACAGAATGTGGACAGTATGATGACCACAGAAAGACCAATCAGTGATGCCCACAGATGAAGAGTCATCAGGAAGGGAAAAGAATACAAAAGAAGGTATTTCAGAACAACAAAGGTACCCTGAGAGGAGAATCCAAGGCACCATGGACAGAGGGCATACCAACAGCCCATCTCATCCACCTGACTAGGGGAGGGGAAAGGGGAAGGGTGGGCCTCAGCCTCTGACATTCAGGCTGCTAACATCTGATATTCAAGAGAGAACCTCAGAGTGAAGTTCACATCCTGGCCAGACATACCTTGACTCTGACAGCCCTAGGATTGGTAGATATAGAATCACTTGTATTATTGTTACCTGCTATCACTATGTATCAATTAAATTTGCCTATTATTGAATAGAAAGGTCATGGTTGGTCTGAGGGCTTTGAGTCTGCCCAGGACAAGGTATCTTGTCAGTGCCAACAACCCCCAGGTCCTTTTCTGCAGAGCTGCTGCTTAGCCAGTTGGTCCCAAGCCACTAGAGATGCACGGGATTCTTTCCATCCTAAGTGCAGTACTTTGCACTTGTCCTTGTTGAACCTCATGAGATATCTTTTGGTCCAATCATCTAATTTGTCTAGGTCACTCTGAATCCTAGCTCTACCCTCCCAGTGCATCTACTACCCCCTTGGTGTCATCCATGAACTTGCTGAGGGTGTACTCCATCCCATCTTCCAGACATTGATGAAGATATTGAACAAACCAGCTCCAGGACCGACCCCTGAAGCACTCCACTTGATATCAGCTACAAACTAGACTTCAAACCATTGATCACTACCCATTGAACCTGATGATCCAGCCAGCTTTCTATTCACCTTACAGTCTATTCGTCTAACCCAGACTTCCTCAGCTTGCTTGCAAGAATGTTCTGGGAGACGGTATCAAAAACCTTGCTAAAGTCAAGGTATATCATGTCCACTGCTTTCCCCACATCCACAGAGCCAGTTATCTCATCATAGAAGGCAATCGAGTTGGTCAGGCATGACTTGCCCTTGGTGAATCCATGTTGACTGTTTCTAATCACCTTCTTCTCCTCCAAATGCTTAGAAATTGATTCCTTGAGGACCTGCTCCATGATTTTTTCTGGGGACTGAGGTGAGGCTGACTGGTCTGTAGTTCCCTGGATCCTCCTTTCCTTTCTTGAAGATGGGCACTGTATTTGCCCTTTTCCAATCATCTGAGACTTCCCTGATCATCACGAGTTGTCAAAGATAATGGCTAGGTGGCATTTAAGGCCCTTTAAAATACAGTAAGATTTGAGCCCTAATCTTTTCAGAGATGCTGACCACTCACACTCCAACCAATAATAACTGTTAGGGATCAACAGTTTTGAAACCTTGTTCCACT